AAAATAATTAGTCGCCGAATTATGTACAGAGGAGGGGTTGGGGGTTGTGGAAAAGGTATATAAAGGGCAATAAAGTGGGAAGAGGGGTCTCTCCTCCGCCTCTCTCTCCTTTTTCTTTTCCTCAGAGGTTTTGTTTTTCTTTCATCCTCTCCCCTCCTCTCAGGTACTGTTCGACTAGTGACGGCTGGCACCGTCACAAGACCCCACAGAGGCAGATGATAAATGTGAAAGAATGAGATACAGTCTCATCTAAGTAGATGCTAAAAATCTCTCACATGAGCCAGGTGAGCCTCTGCAGTCACAACATTATGTTGTATACAATTTGATTACAGAGAACCACAGAGTACTCAGCCATAAACACAGTCCTCGCCAAAGTCTGAGCTTTCTTAAGCCAATTTTACAACCTGGCCCAAATGCTTCCTGAACTCTGTGCTGCAGAATTAGAATAAGGTAGGTTTCCAGAAGTCTCTGGGAGTCCAGTAGTTAGAATGTAGTCCAGTGACAGGGCTATGCCACAAACTACCTTTGTCCCTATTCATTTTTCTTGTGACCTCAGTTCTATGGCTTGAGATTTATTAAATTTTATACCTTTGCATCTCCTTATGAGAAGAAATACAATAATAACTTTCTTCTATGTATTATTCAAAGAGGAGGTTTAGAATATACAGCATATCAGAATGCATTTCACACACAATTTCATATTTGACCATAGTTTTTACTAACTTTATTATTTTTACCCCTTCCACTCAAACTTTCCATGTCCAAAACAAGCCTGTCAAATTATCCCCCCTGCCGCCTTTAAAAAAATACAACATTTCTCTCTCTCCCTTAATCTTCCCCCTTTAAGCAAATGGCAACATTATTCAGTTCCTAAAATCAGGCACTAATAATTAACTTGATTTTTTTCCTTTTTCCATTACCCCATATCCACTCATCCATGACTTACACATTTTAACTACAAAATATATCTTGAATTTTACGTTTCAATTGTATCCATTCTAGTCTAAGTTGCCATTTTTTCTCATCTATACTAATTGATGACCACCTAACTTTTTTTCCACTTCTAGTCTTTTTTCGAACAATATAGCCTTAATTTAGGCAGAAGAGTGATGTTCTTAATCTGTAAATCAAATCATTTCATTCCACTACTTAAAATACTTCAATAGCTTCCACTGCCACTACAACAAAATATAAATTCCTCACATTACAGTGTGTAGTAAAAATGTCTGCATATCATCTTGTCACGCACCAAGATTCAAAACAAATTTTACAATATCACATGGTTTATGTTAAAGAACAGACTTTATTAAAGTAAGAGGAAACTTACATCAGATATAGAATGAAGACAGGGTTCCTCCTTGCCCTATCATTACACACAGAGACCAGGGTGTTATTTAGTTAGCTCCCTGGACCCAGTGCTTCTGTGTGCTAATAATGCACCCCATCCTGCCTGTTGTTCTCCCTTCTTAAAAAGTGAAAGCAACCATGTCAATAGGAAAATAAAAATTCGGCTTATGGCCAGAAACTCTAGATTTGGGCAGCTGGTTGTTACAAGAGTTCTCTGGAAATAACAACTGATCAACATCTGAGACAGGTTCTATAATTATCCCCATCTTTTATGAGAAGGAAAATAAGGCTGAGATTATGAGATAGCTAGTAAAGAGTAGTACTGGGATTGCAACCCTTTCAGAATCCTTTGTCTTAACCAAAGACCTTGGAGATCACCTGCTGATGTTGCCTTATTGAAAATAAAGGGAAATGGGGGCCTTGAGCAATATTAGCTCAGGGGCAAAATCTTAGATCTCCTTTTTGTATGTCACGTTGCTTCATCTTCTCTGGCTCCTGATATTCTTTATCACCTCTCAAATCATGGAACACAGCTCAAAGCAACAAGTGTTTTCATGAAAACCTAAACCCACTGGGTCCAATATTCGACCTCTAATGTTAGTCCTCATTTACTCAGTTAATAATGCTCTCACGGTAAATTGGAAAAACCCTAAAAGATAATAACCAGAATACTTGCATCCTTGTACTCTCAGTGATTTTAGCCATGTGACACTAGCAAATTTCTTGAACTTTCTGACCCTCTGTTTCCAAATAAACAGAGATCAGATGGTCAACAGGGATGGTTTAAGAGCTTGGCTTCTACAATCAGAGCTGGAGTTGAACATGATTGCCACAGCTCATTAGTTATGTGAATTTAAGTAAGTTAAGCTCCCTAAACCTCAATTTGTTCATCTAGAAAATGAGCAAGATAATAGCACTTGTTTCAGAGAATCATTACAGTGATTATATAAGACAGGACCTATAAAAATATAAAATGCCGGAGTATTCTTCAAATGTTAACTACATGGCACTACATATTATAAGTACAATATTATTTTATGAAAACTTGTACTTAATATTTAACTTGTCAAGGAACAAAATCAAAATAGAGTAACACTGGTTTAAGCAACTTAACGTAGATTGGGAGGCATAGTTAAATCTGGCTTTAGACAGGTCCACAGAACTTCTGAACTAAGCTGCAGACACACACCCTCACCTTCACCCCCATGCAAGCCGACCTCTGGACTGTAAGCAAATGCAGCTTCCCGAAACACTGTAATGACCTGTACAAGGGACTCCTTTATCCAAACTACTCCAACATTGAGACTGCACCCTCTTCCTTTCTTGTAAATTAACTTAATATCTGCCAGCACCAACCATAATTTCTGACTAAAAAGTGATGTAGTTTCCAACTACCTTGTGACTTAAAGCTATACTGTTACCATTTTGTAAAACCACTGAAAACATTTCCAAGATGGTTTGAATCTGTTTTCCCAGATTTCAATCTTAATTAGCCCCATATTAGTATAATTTTCTTTATTCTCAACTAGGTTAATGTTATTTTTCAGTCAACAATACATATAAAAAATACATGTAACATATACCTAAGGTATAAACCAAATGAATACCTAGAACTCCACTACTCAAATTAAGAAAACATCACCCATTATCACAGCATTTACTTGTGTGCTTATTTCCTTTCCTACGTTCTTTTTCCCCTCAACTCTTCCAAGGTAATTCATCACGAATTATTTATTATTCTCTCAATTTAAAAGATATGGGCTGGGCCGGGATTTAGCTCAGTGGTTCCACCACCTGCCTCGCAATCACAAGGTCCCGAGTTCAATCCCCAGTACCAAAAAAAAAAAAGATATGGGCTTATCTGTATACATATTTACCTTTACTTGATATTTTAACCTTTATAAAAATAACGTAGACCTTCTGCAATATCAAAGTCTCAGTTGATACGTTTATAAATTACCTGTTAATATGCTCTTCTTTACAGAGTTGCATAGTATTCCAGTGTGAGGATTTATTTATCCATTCTACTGAACTTTTGGATTGTTTCCAGTTTCATATTATTGGGGATATAGCTCAGTGGTACAGCATTAGACTGCAGCTTCATATTATTATGCACATTGCTATGAACACCCTAAGATATGTTCCATAAGTTACATCAGCAAGGAATTCCTATAGGGTGTACCCTAAAGATGGAATAACTAAGTGAAAGTTCAATGTTATAAGTTAATGCCAGATGGGGTTGGAATTTATACTACCCTCTCTAGTGTGCTTCCATTACCTTGCATTTTATCAAACATGTTGGAATTTGCCAATCTAGAGGGCTTGCAATGAAATTTCAGGTTTTGGTTTGCATTTTTTTATTAATGAGGTCAATATCTTTTTCATATATTAACATGTCTTTGTGAAATGCCTGCTTTTGAACATTTTTCAATCTTTTTTTTCTTTTATAGTTTTTTTAATTTTTACTTTATATTAGTCTAAACTTATATTATTGCAAATATCTTAATTTGTGACTTTTTTGCTTTATGATTTTTGATAAACAAATATTGCTTTTAACAGTCAAATTTTCCATTTTTAAAAATTCCATATCCCCAAACCTAAGTGTTGTCCTTTACATTCTCACATTTAAGTTTTGCCTTTTGCAAGTAAGTCTTTAAATAGCCATAAACTTATTTTTGCATAAGGTGTGAGGCAGATTCTATTTCATTTTATTATCTATGGATGACAAATTTTCCTTGTATCATTTGTCTATTAACTTATATTTTACCCAATAATCTATGCCACTC